AGCTTGTCCAGGTCCCTCTGGATGGCATCCCGTCCCTCTGGCACATCGACCGTACCACTCAGCTTGGTGTCATCTGCAAACTTGCTGAGGGTGCACTCGATCCCGCTGTCTATGTCATTGATGAAGATATTAAACAGTACCGGTCCCAATACGGACCCCTGCGGGACGCCACTCGTCACCAATCTCCATCTGGACATTGAGCCGTTGACCACTACCCTCTGGATGCGACCATCTAACCAATTCCTCACCCACCAGACAGTCCACCCATCAAATCCATACCTCTCCAGTTTAGAGAGAAGGGTGTTGTGAGGGACTGTGTCAGAGGCCTTACAGAGGTCCAGATGGACGACGTGTAGTCCTTCCCATGTCCCTTTTTAAAAATGGGGGTTATGTTTCCCCTTTTCCAGTCAGTGGGAACTTCACCGGACTGCCACGACTTCTCAAGTACAATGGATAGTGGCTTAGCAACTTCATCCACCAGTTCCTTCAGGACCCGTGGATGGATCTCATCGGGTCCCATGGACTTGTGCACCTTCAGGGGCCTTAGATGGTCTCGAACCTGATGTTCTCCCACAGTGGGCGGCTCTTCATTCTCCCAGTAAAAGCTTAAAAGCTTGACTTTTGTTTCCTGAACTTGATGCCTCATCCCAATGTGTTGTAGCTAAGGAATAGCTTGTTTCTTGCTCATGGCTCACTCTGTACACCCTCAGGCATTGAAGTAGAAGCCTGCGGAGCACATGCCTATCCATGCAAAGAACAGTAGTTGTTGCAGTAACCTAAAGGATGCTGTAGTCACAAAAGGGTACCTTCGTTTACTAGTGTTCATAAATAAATTGGTGATGCTTACACCCTGTAACTGCTCAGGATTTTAATAAAAAAATGGATATTTCGTAAGGAGCAGGCCTGTTTTTGTGGCACTGGTGAGCTCAAACCAAGCAGGAGAAAGTACAGCAAACATCAACAGAGGTGTGAAAGGAGAAGCATCTCGGACACATCTGACCATGTAGAAAGTCTCTGCAGCCTCCCCAAGGAAGCAGTAAAAGTTCACAGTCGTAGCCTGAGGTTGAGTGGAGGGAAGATCTGGCATTTTCACTGCCCTCACTGAAATGAAGGGCCCCTGCGGGAGCATGGTGGGTAGTGAAGAGCCAGTGACACTGCCAGGCCGTGTGACCCGCGGGAAGTGGGCAAGCAAAACGAGCGGGGAATTGTTTGTACTGGTGAAGGATGGCTAGCGGAGAGTGTATTTTCAAAGACAGACAGAACCAAAAGTACTTTCTATTCAATTCACTAATTCATTTCATGTCTGTGCCGAACTTATAAGTCATTCTCTAATCCTTTTTCAATGCTCTAGGGACCAACAATAGTGATGCTGCAAACAGCCCTGGCCAGTCCTTGCTACAAAGGGTTAATTTTGAACCATGAAACAGGCTTAACCTTTACTTTTTGGGGTGGTGGTGGTTGTCGAGTCCTCCCTGCTGCTTATCTTTGATCACATGAGATTTGAGCAGGTAGTTTCAGAGATGCGGTGAGTGAATAGTGTATGTTTTTAACAGCCCAGCTGAGGAAGCACATCGATGGGGAAGAATCGCTGTGCAGATGAGAGCAGCAGGCAGGGTTGCTTGCTAACCTTTATAGTCTGTTTTTTGGCAAGAGAGTGTACGTTTTGTGCAGAACAGAAGCCAACACAAAGCATTTTTCTCTGGCCGCATGTGTGGTTTTGCTGATAGAAATGTAGTTGGTTGAAATTAAAATCCCATTCATCCTGTGCAGGAGTCCTCCTATTTCTTCAAGCAGACGGGCTTTGCAAGGCAATCTGAGTAATTTTGGGGATATACAGGCAGATCTATACAAGACCTTCATTCTGGAAAGATAATTGTTCATAGACACGAGGAAATATATGTGTTCAACAGTCTTTTAGTTCCAGTTCACAAACTATAAGCACCATGATAAAAAAAAAATATATAAACACCATGTTATATTTGCCATTAAGGAGATGAAAATAAGCAGTAAGAATGGCTGGTGTTTTTTGTTGTTTGGGGGAGGTGGGGGTTGGATAATGAGGACATGGAGAATTTTATGCAGAGTTTAGGGACAAAATGCTGAATGTTACTTTTGTTCTCTGTTGTCTTTAGGGGACGTGTGTATACGTATACAAACACTGCTGGGATTTTCAAATTTTATTTTCTATTTTAGCCACAAAATTGCGGAAGTTTAAAATACAGTGACAAACCTCTTCTTACCCAACTATTTTAAGTTTAATATCCGTGAAAAAGAAGAGGTTTGCCAATTACGTGTTTCATCCATACTGAACGATAACTGTGCTTTCCTTAAGTCATAACAGTCAAGCCTGCCACAGAGTGACAAGACCGGCTTTTCCTTTAGTGTTATTTGATACGTGTTTCAGTTTAACATTATGTAAATACTCTGCTATTAGGGAAGAAAATGACATAAAATTGCATCCTTTCTCAATGAGGTTTTAAGTTCTTTCAGTAGCTTCTCTCCTTTTTGAAGCCGTAATAAAGATCATAATTAGAATCCCAGTTGCTTAAGTGAGAAATTAGCATGTTCTTAAATGCTGAGCTGAGCCGGGTTCCCAGTGAGACCCCCTCCGGGTATCTATCCTGCCCCAAAGTGCTTTCCCTAATACCAATTTGCGTTCTAGATGTATTAAAGAAAATCATATTCATTGCCACCTAGCAGTTAATCAGAGCCTTCAGATAGGCTTGAAATAATTTGCAGCCTGACTGCCAAAACCACCTGCATCCATTCATTTCCTACAGCCGTACCCGGGCATGCTCTAAAACTTATCAGAGTGTGTCAGTCCATCACCCAGTACCAGGACTGAGACAAATTCACTCCATGCGTGTCCTTCCTTCTTACAAATTTGTCACAAATACTACTTAACCCCACCCCAGACCTCCTTGCTTACTGTCTTCTGGGCTGTGGCCGAGGGAATAAAAATCTAATGGCTTTTACCTGATATTTTCCCTGTCAAAAATACCTTTCCCTAAAGGTTTTGATTTGTTTTTGCAGAACTGGGCACTAACGTAGATACCTTATCTATTAATATATATTTTACCATGTAAATAAGATTCTAGCATATTGGAATAAATGAAAACCTTAATGGGGCTAAAATAAACCTCATTTGTAAATTAATTAAAAACAAGAAGGAAAGAACACTAACAAAAAAAAAAAAAAGATGTTTTCATGGTGCAAAATACAGATTTAATTTCCAAATAAGTGAATGGTAAGCTGGAAGTGTATGATGTGCAAGAAAATACTCGGAACATATGAAATAGTAGTCACAGATTTTATAGTCAAGATGTTCCTTTTCTGGTTTCCCAAATTGTCACAGAAGATACCAAAGGGTGAAGCAAATAAAATACTGTTTTCACAATTGACCCAGGCAGGGATATGATATCGGTGGGAGATAGATTCAGATCTCTCTCCGCCCCCCACCCCCGCAGTGAATTTTTATGTTCTGATATCTCTCCTACAAGTTCTGCCTAACGTGCTTCTGATATGCTCTTGTTTCCACAGGCCAAGGCTGCAAGCACAAAGGAAGTTTGCTCAGTCCCAGCCAAACAGTCCCAGCACAACTCCAATAAAGATAGTGGAGCCGTTGTTACCCCCTCCCGCCACTCAGATTTCTGACCTCTCCAAAAGGAAGCCCAAGACAGAAGATTTTCTCACTTTCCTCTGTCTTCGAGGTAGGAGTCTCGCAGCAGCCTAGGGGGACAGTCTCATTCAAAGAACGAGCCATAGTACCGCACACCGATTAGCAGTTAGACAAATGTACTGGTGCTACACTTGAATATATTGTGTGCATTTCAACTCTCAGCAATTTGACTGTATCTGCAGCAGGAGCATTCCAGTTCATGGTTGTAAAGACCATAAAATGAGGCCAGTAATAGTGCAAAAGGAAATTTCTTTTATGCTTAGCACTCTGTTATCCTGAATGGGTTTTTGTCTAGCTCTCTTTAAGTCCTCCCCATCCTCCTTTGTTTTGTCTGACTATAAACTGAAGAAGTGCTTAACTTGCCTGAGTACTTGTTCCTGCAAGAGGAAGAATCTGGTTGGAAATTCCCCTTCTCTACCTACTCACTGTCCTTTATAGCTCAATGTGAGTGAGGCTTTTCATCTGGCAGTGAGGGGTTGCTTCTTGTTCTTAGCTGCCCCAGGAGCCGGATTGTTCCCATGGTGATAATTAAAACAGGTGAGCTCCTCCACCCTGCAACCCAAGTGCAGACGAGGCATCTGAAGTTGTACAGCGAGATACCTGAATTATCTCACAATGACGGGGGCCTGAGCCCGGCTGGAGCTGTATGGTGTGTGTCTGGGATCACTGGTGTGTGTCTGCAAGCCTGCGTGTCAGACTTGGGGACCTTAGTGTGAGGTACAGCTGACTGTCCAGAATAAGCTAAAGAAGGAGACCTTACTTGAGTGGTCATTTTTCTTGGGACTTTCCATGGCCCTGTGTCCCAAGTCATGCATCTTTCAGTTTAATCTCCCAAATGTCCTGTTAGCTCTCGTGGTATGTTTCTTTTTTGGCAGATGCCCCCCCGTCCCCTTAGCCAGTCACTGCTCCATCCTTGATGTGCTGGAACCATGCCTCTTGCTGTTGTTTTGTCCCATTACCTGCTGAAAGGGTGTGCATTTGTTATAGATGGGGCTTGTCTGCAAAAGTCTTACCTAGTAGATTGAATCCTTCAAAGCTTGAGTTCCCCTTTCCAGTTCTGAAGTCTCCATTGCATCTGCAAGCAGCACTGGTCAACACCACTCGTAGCTTCCTGCTGAGGCTTTCTCACCTTAATGCAGCATGGCTTGATTTCTTTTTTCTTCTCTTCTGTGAGATTTTAGGCTAGTGGTAGCTTTAGACTGGTTGCTACTTTATCTGTCTTGACACTGGTCCAATATGGAGCCTCCATCCTGTTGGGACTTCTGGTAAAGCAGGTGGGTGGAGAGGATGGAGGCTTTTGTGTTTGTTTAAAGGATTTAGGGAGGAGCAGAATCTAATGGAGTTTAAAGTGGCATCACAGTCCTCTGAAATTTAATCTGTGGAAATGTATTTCTAATTTAGTCTGCTGTGAGGTTGATCAGTCTGTTGGCAGCATGTCACTGCTGTGATCTGGGCCAACTGCCACAGTTGTTGGTGGGAAAATTCAGATGGTGTGTGTATGTGTGTGAGCACACATGGCTGCATTCACACACTTGTTTCCACTGCTTGCTAACTAAGCATGTGTTATTTATAGCTTTGAAGGCACTTGCACTTAAAGAAAGGCAACCTGTGTGGGGATGTGACTTATCTCCATTTTTATTTCCCACTGTCTCTTAGCATTCTGCTTTAACAATGCAAATGGGAAGCACGGGTACTTTTGTCCTATTCCAGTGCTTCATTCAGAAGGGTTTGGTTTTTTTTTTTTTATTTTAATCAGTGGCTGTTTAGCTCTTGCACCTGTAATTTTCTTCTTTGTTATTCATCTGTAGAATAATTGATGTTTTGTACTGTCAATTAAGAACTTGCAATTCATTCCTAATTTCTTCAGTATGCAGGAGTACTCATATATTTCAGACAACACGTGCATTCAGACGACAAGATCCCAATTACAATTATATTAAAAATCACAAGGAAAAATCTGCTCTGAGTGCCACACATGGCATGTTCTTGGTCTGCTTAAACAGACTGAAGAAAAGCAGAAAGGGGAAGTTGTCAGCTCACTGTATCAGCGCCTCCACAAGCTTATTGCTCCATCACCCCTGTATAAAGCCTGAAAAGAGCCAGTAAAAACAGGGACGGAAATCTTGGACGTCTGCTACCTGGATGCATTTCTGTGGAGGAGCAAGAGAGTGGCTGTGGTTTGGAGGGAGGAGGAGTGGGGTTGTTGAGATCAGTATTAGCATGGTTCTGGCTTCAGTATCTGAACTGCTGTGTCCTTCAGGAGGTCCTGGCTGCCTGAGATTGTGCCCGTTCAGTCCCTCAGGAGGTTTAGCTCCAGGTGGTTGTCTCTTTTGATGTGCCCATTGGAAAAAAGGAGGTGGAAGCTGGTTCTTAGTATGCTCACAGGGAGTTCATGTAGCAGCTCACTGGTACATCCAGCTCCAGAAAGGTCCCACAAGTGGCCTTCCAGGGCACTGGCAGGCTTAATTTGGTGCTGCTCTTCTGGTGGGTACTCAGTGAGCTTGGAGAGGGAAGAGCCAGCAGCTTACTTAAACCCTGCATAGGGAAGACTTGTGATTGTTTTGGAAGGAGTTTGTTTTGGTTTTGAACCTCTGTGCTATTATTTATTGAAGTGTTGAGGGATTCAAAATTGCTTGCATGGTGGGACGTGTGGTTGTTCTGACTTTTGTCCAGATATGTCTGTCCAGCCCTGGCTGTTTGCAGTTTCATGATGAAATGCGACACAATTACGTGGAAATAAAAGCACACTCACAGGGTGTAAGTTCAGCACTTTGGAAATTGTTTAGTAGTAAGTGTAGTAGTGGTAAGATTCAGGACAGTAAATCCCTATGCTTGTGTAATTTTTTTTATTTTTTTTTTTTTTTAATTTTTTTAAGTTGGGACTCTCTTAGGTCCTAGTCCTTCAAAATGCTGTGATGATATAGTCCCTGCATTCATGATCAAAGCTCTTCTTCGGCAAGGGAGTCTTTTCCAGGACTGGTGGGAAAACAGTTATGTGGTCATGTCTCTGTCCTTGTCCCACCACACCCAGCAGCAGTGTCAGAAGCACAGTATAAATTTGTTGCACCATGTCAGCGTGTACTTTCATTTTCTATTTTTAAACAGAGAAATTTAAAAATCCCTTCAGCACTGCAAGTTCACTCTTCAGTACTCTGGGGGGTTTATTTTAAGCGGCAGCAGCTGAATTCTGTGAGTGATGGAGCAGTACTGTCATGCCACAATGTGGAAGAAAGGCTCTTGACGTGCGTAAGATCCCATACTTAGGAAAAGAAGTCCCATTTACCTGGCCTTCTGCTATGTGTCAGAAAATCTAATGATTCAAATAACTTTTATTTACTTTTTTTTTTTTAGCATCTTGTAATTTCAAAGGGAGATAATTTAACCAAGATGACCTGCTTTGTTTCATTATCCAGAATACTAGGGGCTTTAGACATATTTTTAATTAGTTTGTTTTTTGAACTCTTGATTTGATAATGCAATGTACTAATTACTTCTTAAAAGGTAAGCGGAGCAGAAGGAAAAATCTGTAACAGTTGATGAATATCTGAGCACCCTGGAATACATCTAACTGACCAGACTTGGCAAGGTTCCCCTGCTTTCTATTATTTTAAAATCCTTCTTTTTTTTTTTTCTTTTTTAAAATTTTTTTTATTAAATTGTGACCTAGAATTTCCAACACAAGAAGGAAGGGAATAGCGCAGATATCTCTGAAGTGTTTGTCTGCAGCGTTCTTCACTTTAAATAGCTTCTTTGAGGGAGCCCGTATGCCCTTTGCCAGAGGCATAATTAGTATCTTTCAGCAGCGCACATAGATATGAGTGTGTCATCTCTGTGTGGTTGTACAATGGCTTTCACTTTTACTGTATTTTCTGCGTCTGATAAAATTTTTCTTAATAGCTTCTGTTACAGTGCATTTAAGTTACCTTTTCTCTCCATAATTATTTACAGGTTAAAAATATTGTGAGTGAAATAATATAGGGCTAAAGGGGAAAGGAGAAACAACTCCCTGTGAGCAATAGATCTTTGGCAAAAGGTGATAACAGGAAGGCTATGATTAGGAGCCTACATTTTAAGAAGTTTTCCCATGATCAATTTTCTAATTAAGCCGGGCCTCTGGGAGTTACATGCTAGAGAATTTCAGGGATTCCTAAATAAAGATGGTTTAATTGAGATCTCACAAATTGAGTTTTCAGGCTCTTCTAACAACTGTTCTGTAAAACGCATGTCTGTTCGTTTTCTTTGAGTACTGCAGTGACTTAACGATCTGATGATTTATTACAATTGGGCAAAACCAAAATAGAAAATCTCACTATAGCATGTTTGTCCAAACTTCACAAACTTCTAAATCTCAGTGCTCCAGTCTTCTCGCAGTTTGCTCTTAAAGAGGCTTTTTATTTTTTTAAACACCTTGTTTGGGTGGTAGGCTTGGGGGTCTTTGATCCCAGTCTTCTCTCTAGAGTCTTAATAGGAGGGGTTGCCTGTGCCAGTAGATAGCTGCAGAGGTTTTCCATTACAACGGGAGAGCCCCCAAAATCAAAAACTTGGGAGCTCTTAATTTTGGACATGTTAGAAAACAACTGTTCATTTGCCTGGCTTTTAACAAGGCAGAAGGTACGCTTGCCTAGTAGTTCAGTATCAATAGGTACACTGGACTTTAAGAGCCAGTGACTGCATCAGTCCCATTCTGGAAGCCTTCCAAGGGAGCACGTTGTCACCGTGGAGACATGCTCACCAGATCAGAGTAAGCACATTAAATAGCACAGGCTGGAAGCAGAGCAATGAAATGCTGACACTGTCCAAAAATGTGAGCTGCTTTGCAGTCCGGGTTAGTTTTTATAATTCCAAAATAATATTAAAACATGCAGACGTACAATAATTTGTTTAACATACTGGAAGAAGACTTTTTATCCATTTTGTTGTTAAATCATTTGGTATTTGAGACTAAAATTTTAGGATGGATTGAAAACATAAGAATAAACTTCGGGGTGCTGAATCTTAATTGCACAAACCATGTAATAAAAATAAGTTTGC